AAGAAAAAAAAAAGAAAAAAAAAAAAAAAACAAAAAAAAAAAAAGATGAAATTATGATTTTGGAATTTTTTATTTAATAATACAAACTTTAATATTACTAACCTGTTAAATCATCACTCATTGCTGGGCTTTGTTCCCGATCTCTATCTGCTTTTAAATACATATGTTTTTTCTTCATAATCTTTTCAAACTTTTCCGGTATATCTTTTATTTTCTTTTTATTTTTTGATTTAAATTTTGTCAATGATTTAATACCAGGTCCTGCACGTGCATCTACAACCTATAGCATAAAAAGCATAAAAATATGATCTATTTTGTAGATAATTACGTTTAATTAAATAATAAAAATATAATATAATAAAAATAATACTATATTTATTAAAACATACATGTCTCCAATTGCGGTTACTTCCTGCAGGTAATTTTTTCCATCTTTTTACTAAAAGTACACATGCATTACAAATTTCTCCAGTCCTTCTTTCCTCAAGTTGAAAACATTCCATAAAATCATCTTCATATTTTTTACTATCTGTAAATCTTGAGCTATAAAGAAAAAAAGGAATTATAAATTAGTTATAATTTTAAGATTAATATTAATAATAATTTATTTTATTAAATATTATGTATTTAAATAATATTTATTGAAATTATTATATTGCTTACCTGCTTGATTTAGCTTTACAGATGCAACATCCAGTACTAGATCGATACACTTTTGGTTTATGAAAACTAAACATTTTGCACGTTATTTTCAGACTGCTTCTGTAAAAGTCGAAATGTTAAATAATATTTTTAAATCAACATATAGATGATCAGATTAAAATTTTATAAGATCTTACATAAAGAAATCATATCACATGATAACAAATTCATAAAAAACCAATAAAAGTTTATCCCAACCAAATTCATTCCAATATCTTTTTTCACAATTTATTATCGGTTTATGTTTATAATTGTAAGTAATTACCTACAAAGAAGAATTGCATATAGGTACAAAGATAAAATAATCGTTGGTTTAACCGTATGTTTAACGCGTCCTGAAAATAATGTACCTTTACTGAAAACAGCATGTTTCGATGATCGTGACAGTAGTCGAAATTAGCTCCGTTCTGTCCGTATAATATATAAAAAGCATGTAAAAAGTTCAATCGCGATAATTTGTTATGACGAAAAAGTCACTGATCGTCACCATCTTTATTTTACTTGTTTACATCGATTCGTTGCCAGTTCTGTAACTAACACCGCGATTTTGGCTTGACAGTATACGTGCAAGACGCTACACGCTGTGACGCACGTATGCTACTAGGGGGCGTCCAGAATTTCACGAATCCCCACTTTATATTACACGATAAAACTGCAAAGAAAAACAACGTGCTACAGGAAATCGACACTTTATAAACATTTTTTTCTATATAGAAACACTAAAATCACTTGCCATTTATCATTATACATCATAGTTATATCATAATTACAGTGTAAAAGTTATTGTAATACGATACAAATATGTAATTTTTCTACAAATTATTAGTAATTTTTATCGTTATTAAACAAATTATAAAATTTTAATGTGCAGAGATTTTTTATATTTATTATTTTAATAAAATATATTTTTATATATTATTATAATTATATAATGTAACAAAAAATCTTGTATTTTAAACTAATATAATTTTTAATGATTATTACAAATATTATAACTTTATAGAATATATTTTTAATTATCAATAAAAAGATATATACCTAAATATAATTTTGAAATTATTCTTTCAAAATTGATATAATTTTGAAAAAAGAAAAGAAAATATAAAATTATAGTATATATTTTAATAAAATATACAAAAAGTAATTAAATAGCATATAAAAGCGGATATTAGAAGATTTCTTATATAAAAAAAAAAAAAAAAAAAAAAATAAAAACAAAATCAAAATAAAATTTTTCATTTGTAATTTTAAAAAAGATTGAGTTTGAAAATCTATTGGCTATATGCAAGTAATATGACATTTACCGAATGATGTAGCAATATCTATTGTGTTTATAAACAATGTCTCCGTTATATTTATGAATTATTAAATTTAAGAAAGGATATTATCTCAACTATTATATTTCTATCTATTTTTCAATTGCTTATTTATATTTTATTTCATATCATTTCTAAATTAAAAAAAAATAACATATGATATATCACAAGAAGCAATATTAAAATTTATAATTTAGAGAGTGTATTTTATTTTGGCAATTTCATTAAGCATTTAGAAATATATAATGACATTCATTTGACATGCATTATAATAAATGCGTGGAGGTAAACCAGTTTTCGTGCAATATACCAAATTTGTTGTGTATGTTACCTGTCCTTGTTTTTTTCAAGGATGATTTTATTCAGGAACATAACAAAGTTTTAATGAATTGATTTGATATTAGTAATTTATATATTCTTACATCTTACATTTATTATATTCTACGATACTGTAATTCATTAGGAGATTCTTTCTACAATTATTAAATATAAATTTATCATATAAATTCATTTGAAAAAATATAAAAATAAAAAATTCGTAAAAATAAAATCTTAATAATTTTGATTAATATAATGAAAAATTTGATATCTACAAATTCATTTTACTATAAAAATATAAAATGCGATAGAATTCTTGCGGTGCATATATCAAAAAGTACTGTCTCTTAGTTTCAATGAACGATATATTTTTTTACTCATTCTGGGAGTGGCGCCATCAGTAGTTGAAACCTCAAAGTAAAAATGTTGCAATGTATGGTACGCAAAAAAATGTAAATGTGCTTTCGCCTCGTTGTAGTCAATGATTATAGTGGGAGACGATATAAGGGACATCAAGCAATAGGAAGGGGGAAAAAAGAGGAGGGTATAGCGATGTTGCCACGTGGTTTGTTGATCGGTTGCCTCTTCATCCCGATACGACTCAAATCTCTGACCTGACTGCACGCATATTAAACAACATTACCTATATTTTACGTTTTGTTTATAAATTGAGTCAAGATCAAAACAAAAACTAATAACAATTGATAATAAATTTACGATATCTATAATTTAACTATTTAATTTTATCATATAATATCCACTATATATTTCTAATTTGTAATTATGATCAAATACTTATCATAAAATTATATAAAATTATTTTTACTATTTTTAAAGCAAAACAAGATTCAAAAAAACATATCAGATATGTTTTTGTATTTTTTACATATTATAATCTGTTATTGATTGAATGTAAAAATAAATTAAAATACTATATACTATATCAATAATTTGAAATCAATTATTTTTCATTATAAATAATATTCATAATAATTAAAAATAATTTTGTTTTACATATTATTGAAAGGATAAATATAACGAAGATAAAAAATGCATAATGTCTGAATAACATGGCCCTGACATGCTAAACTCTCAGTAGTTCAACTTTCGTTCTTACTTTTAGTTGCTTCTACAGTTTTAAAAATAGAAGGTGCCATCTTTTGATACAAATACATGTCACCAAATTGTATGCGTTTGTAGAAGTAAATGCAAACACATTTTCTCTGAGTGCGTATTAAGAAAACAATATATAAAATTATAATTAATAATAAAAATATATTAGCCTGAGAAACTTCGATTTCGTTGAGGCGATGTTTAATGATGTCGTAAGTATTTGATCGAGATGACCTACATTATGATAAAACAGGTTCCGGTATTTTGGTCAGAATAAAAACATGGAGACATTTCTCTACCTTTATGACATTTCTCTACCTTTATTAGTTTCTAATATTCTTAAAATCGTTATTATCTTTTTTATTCGATTTGAGAAATATAAATTTAAACATTTTGAATATATTATTAAATATTAAATTACTAATATTAATATTTTTTTTAATAATAAAATAAAATGTTTTATATAGTGAATATTTTAATCTTATTTATCTATTATTTAGATTAAATAAATATCTTTAATTTGTTAAAGATTATTAAAATATAAATAAAAATGGTGTATTTATTCTGATGAGAAAATAATTATAATTAAAATATAATAACGAAAACTATTTTAATAACCATCTTATTATATTAATATAAATAATTACTATCATAAAGTATTATCATCAAAACAAAATATTCCTAATTGTTATTAAATACACTTTCAACATTCATTTTCAACATTAAAAGTATTTTTTATCAATATTATAAGAAATAAAAATTGGAAAATAAAATACTAAAAATTATTTACGAAAATTAAGAAAATTGAATTCATAAAAATTTCCATAAATAAAGAAAAAAATTGAGTATGCATTGGTGTAGCAATACATAAACATTGAAGACCGCGATTTTATCTAAAAATATATTGAATTTTTTTTTATTCGGTTCAAAATAAAAAAGTTTTATCAATTTTCAAAATTTATATAATATTAATTATAATGCTGAGTCTTTTCAAATAATATAGATTTCTATTGAAGTTAGTTTGTGACAGATTGTGTACCATTTTCATAAAGACAAAAAAAGAAATCTAGACAAACGTAGTGCACTGAACGAAGGACGTGCGCAAGCAAAAGACCGACATGGCGCATGGCACAGTACAGTTCGCCGCCATCGTCAATTCCTTCCCTTTCCACTATTCTAACCAACCCTGTCTTCATGAATACATAGAATACATATTCAAAATGTTAAATAAATATGATATTCCCTCAAGTCAATTTTTTGAAAATTATTTGTCCGATTCCTTTCAAACAACATATATAACAACACTAACTGACATGTACCTTGAACGAATAATAATCAAAAAAGTCAGTGATATGATACCCGCCACAAGCGGGCACGCCATGACAGATGATACGGCACGCACAAACAAACAAGTCTACTTGCCAAGTGGAACACCGCGCAGGTAAAACGCGGGAATCATCGTCGGTCTGAAAGATGAATACCATATAACAACTGATAGATTTTCATGATACTTTATGAATATCTTTTCTATAGGTTATTCAGTGTCCTGTCAATACAATGATGAATGCCGACAATGAAAATTCCGTGAAGGTACGCGGTACCTACGATCTGGTGAAAGTTTTTCGTTGCACTTGACATAAACCACTAAAATTTGAACGACTATAATAATGTATAATAAGAACGGATTAAGAGAATAGTCGATGAAAAGGCAGGAATGAAAAATAAGTGTCAAATGTATCGATGATGATACAGCAGCCTGGCAGATTCTGAGTTCAGAGCCGAAGACGCTGACATCTCGGAACATATTTATCTTAATCACGTGAGTAATTTCGCGTGACAATCTACAAAGCTGCTGACATTGTCTTATGTTATCAATACATCGTATTTTTATGACACGTGATCGCGAAATTCATATTAAGATGTTAAGATTAATGACAGCAGAGTACTTACCTTTTCAATACAGGTGACGGCCAGATTTGAGAACTTCTTTGCGCAGACTCACGGCGCTGGCTCTGTTGCATACTCTAATCAAACGAGCATTTGTATGTATTGAATAAGAAATTATAATTTTCATGTTGTTATTATTTGTTTTTCATTTCTGATAAATATAATTTTCATAAAAAAATTTATTATGTATTCTGTTCAATATGTTTTAATAATATAAGAAACTTAAATTATAAATTTGTTCTTACTTGTATAAGTTTGATTTCCGGTGAAAAGATTTGATTTTTGTTGGACATCAGTTCGATAATATACCACCAGAGTTCTAGAACAGTACAAATTCTACTTTTTTAAGATACAAACAAAATTTGATTTATTATCTCAATTAAATTTTTGTATATAAGTCTATATATAAACAATGAATTTCCTAATACATACAAGAAAATGTGTTTTGTCAGAGTAATTTGAATAAAATTGCGGTACCTTAGTAACAGTGAAAATAGCGCCATCTTCATGGATAATAAATACAATGAAAAATAAATTATACGTAGATATAATTTTTTCTTAATTTAATAAGTCAAAAATAAATTTTATTCACAACTATTATATAAAATTTTGTCTTTTTCATATAACATTGAAATTATTAGACATGAATTATTTATAATTTTTTGATTCATCATACATTTTCATTTAAAGTCCAGTAACATCTTTTGAACTTCGAAACATGAACACTTGATAAATAATCATAATTTGCCATCTATCGGCTATATATTTGAAGTAAGAATAGGTACTTCTATTTCTTTCTTGATACATGGTAAAATAAAAAATAGTTGATTTTTCTTATTTTGACACTGAAGAGAAATGAAAATTTAAATGTATGCTATCATGAGTTCATGGTAATTCTAAATCAGTGTTATCTAAACTTTATTTGTGAATAAGATACATTTCCCCCACTTTGCTATTGTCGTCAAGGAAACCAAGATACTATTCATGCGAGTCCAGTGTGGATCTCGCGCAAGTTTCGTGCACCTAATATGGAGAAATTAAAATATAATTTACTATTTTCATAATAAATAAAAAGATTAAGTAACGATTATAGTTGTTCATAGTTAAAAAAAAAATGTTTCACTCAAGCAAATATAATTTACGCTATATAGATTTATGAAGTGAAGAAATATGTAACTGCGAAATGTATAGGAGATACGTAATATGCCCCACTGCTGTAAAATACTAGCGTAGAGGGGGACAAAGCCGCATGAGGGGCCCCACCCGTGAATATCACATCGTTATGATCGTCAGTCGTCAATATACTCTATAAATTGTTCTATCAACGATTATTGTACGCATTTCCAACTGTCATATTGTATTCTAAGTATATATATTAGTTATATACAAATTATGGCTAGTTCAATTAGTAGCACCAATAATGTCTATAATTTCAAAGTTGTATTGCTCGGCGAAGGATGTGTTGGAAAAACTTCTGTTGCATTACGATATGTTGAAAACAAATTTAACGATAGACATATCAGCACATTGCAGGTAATAATTTTTAATGTATTATTTTATGTTTCGTTTATATCTTAAATTTATTAATTTGTTGTTTATATATAATTATGATTGTAATGTTTTTATGGTTGATAAATTATAATGAGTACTGAAATGTTTTTATATTTCCAGGCTTCCTTTTTAAATAAAAAATTGACTATACATGAAAAAAAAGTAAACTTGGCAATATGGGATACTGCTGGTCAAGAAAAATTTCATGCATTGGGACCAATTTATTACAGAATGTCAAATGGTGCCATTATAGTTTATGATGTTACTGATTACGATACATTCTTAAGGGTAAAAATTTAAGAAATATATTATTCTATTTTTTTATATCCTATATTAACGTTCATTTCACAGGTAATAAATTGGGTTACAGAACTTAGGAAAATGTTAGGCAGTGGAATTTGTTTAGCAATAGCTGGAAATAAAATAGATCTTGAAAAGGATAGACGTGTTTATATCGAAGAAGCAGAAGAGTAAGTTTTTTGATTTTTGATTATCCTTATATTATAAAATTTGTTTTAATATAAAATTTTTTTATTAGATTTGCTAACAAAGCAGGAGCTATGCACTTTCATATTTCTGCCAAATTAAATGAAAATATTGAAGAAATGTTTTTTCAATTAACAGTACGAATGATAGAACATGCAGATTTAATGGAACAAAAATCTACATTATCAAGAACAAGTAGTATACGTCGTAATGTTGTTGTGGTTGAAGATGAAGGTGAAGAAACTGAACCAATTAAAAGTTCCTGTTGTGGTGGTTCTTCACATACATCTTAACTTGAGATATCTATATTAAAATTGGTTTTAATTTTGAACAAGCCATATATAGAAATGTGTGTGTATATATATGTATGTATGTATGTATAATATATGTATATATATACATATACATATTAAGTAACATATATCAAAATTTTTAATATTTTATTTTTAAGGAATAAAATATAATATAAGAAAAAAATTGCTAAGCCTAAATAATTTAACTGAGTGTAAGGTAAGAAAAACTAATTATATTTTGGGAGTTGATTTTTATGTATTTCAATATTCAATTACATTGATAGAACCTCAGTTGACTCATAAACCAAATATCTTGTTACTCATATATGTCATATATGCTAGAAGACATCACAATTATAGATATATGTATTTCATATAAATGTATATATATTTAAATACTATTATGTTTTAATAAAAAGGTTAATTAATATATATACGTATTTAATACGATGTTATTTCTTGGGAATGTTGATTCGAATTTCAGATTAGATTTAATTAGTTATAAAATAAAGAACTTACTAATTACATGCACAATATTTGTGAGCCTAAAGTACAATATTCTATTCTATCACAGGTACATACATGGATTAAACATCCATAAATCCATCTATACTAGCAATATAAACATTATTTTGTTAAATGATAAATTCTTTTATAATGTATTTTTAAATTAAATGTAAATATACAAAGTGATTATTTATAAATAAGAGCAAAATTTAGAACATCAAAATAATTAGAAAATTATACATTTGTAATATTTATATATATATATATCATGACATATCATTTTAATATTTTTTTTATATAAATAATTATATATTTATGTAATATTTTTATTCTATTAATAACAAGGAATGTACTTGTGTCAGTTCTATATAGGTCTGGGTTAGTCTTTTTCCATAACAGAGAACATATTAGGCAATGAGCCTCTATTTTATCCCAGAAACCCATAATGGCAGGACTATTTAAGAAAATGTACAAAGATACACATATGATAATAGAAAGATTATTATAAGTCTTTCATCTTTCAAGTGATAACAAACAGTATACTAAATATTACATTACATGATACCCTGGCATTGATTTTAATTTAATTGTTAAATTATCATAATAAAGAATAATGAATTCCATTATTTGTTATTATTTTAAATAATCATACGAATTATTTTTTCTTTTTGAATTTGCTATTTATAAATTTTCATTGTATGGAAATTACAAACCAAATATCATATAAATATGCTAACTATATTAGTAACTTAATTTATACTTAAAAATAAGAAATTTTATTGTTAATTTTTTGTAATATGATTTTAACACTGCATCAAAATTTTTTGTATTTATGTATGTATAATAAAAAAAAACAATTTTGTTTAATCAAATTAAACTTGTATATAGTGCTATTAATCTTTGTATATATATATATATATATATACACACACATAATGTTAATACAAAGGATGCCATATATTATTAATAGTTTCTAAATTCATTACTATATTTTTGCTTTGGCTAATATCATAAATTATAACAATATAATTATTATGACTTTTATGACATTTGTCATGTTAATGCTTAAGTTAATAAAATTATGCGAGCAAGGCATCCTGTACAACATAATTTGCCTGTCTAGTTTTACTACATTATGCTATTTTTAAATAATCCTATATTTTATAAATTGCATGATATTTTTCATAATATCTTTGGTATACCATTAATTTTTATGTAACTTTACATATTTTTCAATTGTATATCCAGATTGATTTACAATATTTTAATGTCCCATGAAATTATTATATTAATTTACTAAAAAAAAAATTTTGTGCAAGTTGTATAATTAAACACTGTTTGTGATATTAGGTATGCAAGTATTTTTCTATCTCTATATTTAAATATAAAAATATTTTAATCAACAAAGTACGAATGTTATAATTAAATATGAATATTATACACGAGTTGTTACGTTCAAGTTCCAACAAGTTTGATATGACTTCGAAGATCTAAAGGAGATTTTTGTTTTTACATTTTAAAATGAGATTCTCAAGAACTTGATATAATTTTTAATAAAAATTCTATAAAATTTTCTTCGAAGTTATATTATGTAAGATCATACAATATCAAACTTGGCAGCCAAATTTATAAAATTTCTATAACATAAATAAAGTATTAATTTCGTTTTAAATTAGGCCTTTAGCGTTCAATTCTATATTTTCTTTATATAATAAATATTTTATCCTGATGAGTAAATAAAAAGTCTATAAATTGATTAATGGGACCTATTGCGGAAAGTGACATTCCACGTGATGGTGGTGTTCTGACAAGATTTGGACCAAATACAACGGCGAGATTACTCGATGTCATTTTGTTTAAACCAGATCTGTCCATTATCTGTTATATAAATTTTCAACAAAGTACGAATGTTATAATTAAATATGAATATTATACACGAGTTGTTACGTTCAAGTTTCAACAAGTTTGATATAACTTCGAAGATCTAAAGGAGATTTTTGTTTTTACATTTTAAAATGAAATTTTCAGGAACTTAATATAATTTTTAATAAAAATTCTATAAAATTTTCTTCGAAGTTATATTATGTAAGATCATATAATATCAAACTTGGCAGCCAAATTTATAAAATTTCTGTTCTATAACATAGATAAAGTATTAATTTCGTTTTAAATTAGGCCTTTAGCGTTCAATTCTATGTTTTCTTTATATAATAAATATTTTATCCTGATGAGTAAATAAAAAGTCTATAAATTGATTAATGGGACCTATTGCGGAAAGTGACATTCCACGTGAAGGTGGTGCTCTGACAAGATTTGGACCAAATACAACGGCGAGATTACTCGATGTCATTTTGTTTAAATCACATCTGTCCATTACCTATTATATAAATTTATATATTTTATTATAAAATCATAAAATAAGAATAAATAATTCATAAAATAACAATTTACCCTTGATAAAAATTGTACGATATATTTTAAAACCTTATAATTATCTTCTGGAAGTTTTTCAAGTACTAATATTTTAACTCGTCTTGGACGTTCATCTTTTAATAAAGCTAAAATAAAATAAATAATAAAAAAATTTCAATATATTTTTATTATAGAATATAAAGTATAAGTAAAAAAAAAATAAAATCTAAATGTTTACCTTGAAATTGTGTTATTTCATCATATAAATCATATGTCATAAGTGGTTCATCTAATTCTCGAAGAAATGTTTTAAGAAGAACAGCTGCTATATGCGGGTCTCCTTGAAAATCAATTGGTAATCCTTGGTTACAACGATTTTGAAGTTCTTTAACTACTGCTACATTAGCTGATCTTCTAAATATTCCTTCTGTTTCTAATGCTATAAATACAGAATAACATAATAAAATGATATTATTATATTATTTTTTAAATAAGGTAGCAAATATTTCGAATATCCGAGAATTTTTTTGTCAAATTATGACAAAATATGACAAAATATGACAAAAAGCATGTTCTAAGTAAAAATAAGAAAAAAAAAGTTAAATATAGATTCTGAAATATTTCATTTAAACAAAAATATAAATTACTTATTCTTTTCTTAGCATAACATGAGAATTAGCAATATTTTATCTAATCTGGTTACATGAGTTATGTTTATTATCATTTCTAATTCAATACACTTTTAATAATAAACACAACTTGTGTAAATAAATTGAATAAATATTATTCACTTATTCTTATGCTATATTGAAGAAAAACTGAAATCAAGAAGATTATAATTTTATTATAACTTTTAAATGAAAAAAACTTATGTTTATGTAACATTTTTTTCTTATTTTTGCTCATTAATTCAAACTATATTAGTAATTTAACGGAAAAATATCTGGAATACGCTATACATAAAAACTAAATTATATAATTCATATACCATCAGGCATATCAAGAAATTCAATGCATTGTCGCACTATTGGTGGTATAGGATCGCCATTGTTATTTTCTTTAATAAAAGTGAGACTTGCTCCAAATTGAGTGGTACCAACTGGTGTTGTTACCGTACTCTGAGGTGGACTTGTTGGTAAATTCTTTTTATTCTTTAACATTAGCTGTTCATTGTGTCTAAAAATTAATATAGGCAATTAATATGAAGACAAAATTAAGATATTTATAATTAAAAAGAAATACCTACTCTATTACTTGAGGAGGTATAATAAGTTGATCAAGATTAATGTATTGTGCTAGCTCTTCTAAATAATTGACATACATCATTTTTCGACCAAACTTTGCACTAAAAAAATAAAAATAATATCAACTTTGGTTAGTGTTAATTGAAAAAAAAATTCATAAATTAGTAATAAAAAGAAAAAATTACCTAATAGCTGGCTTGAATATTTGCCATACAATTCTAATAAAATTAGTTGGATGCACCAAATATAATGCTTTCAAATTTTTTTTATATTTTCTGTCAAAAGCTTTATATGCTTGCCATAACCAGGACAATGGTGGTTTATTTTTTGAAGTAAGACCATAATGAAAATAAACTAGACTATAGTCTTGTTCTACAAAGGTGTCTAAAGTATGTGTAAGATACCTGTCAAATAAATATATTGTTGTAAAAACAATCAAATAAATTTTTAAAAAATTAATGTTTATTGTAATAAATATTTATTTTATACAAACCTGAGAAGTTTTGCATAATTAAAAGTTTCTTTTCCAACAGGAGGTAATTTACATGCAGATACTACTATTACTTTACGACCAGCATTATCATCACCAACCACTTCTACAATGCCATATCTTGATATATCAAGATAATCTTCTTCATCCACAAGTTCACCATCCAATGCAGCAAGATCCTCTGCTACTTAGCATATATTAGCATATTATATTCGTAATTATTTTTTTATTTCTATGTTAAATTTTTATCATTTTCCCTTCGACTCTTTTTAAGAAATAAATATTCAAAGTAATTTAATTGTAAATGAAATAAAAAAGAGTCATTTAACCTTGGCTTTTATGCATTGTTATACCATGCAATAATAAACCGTACAATGATCTACATAATTCACCTGCTAAGCCCCAAATGCCATGACATTTAGTGGCTACTAACAGAAGATAAAAGGTCACACACCGGATTCGATAACTGGAGCATCTACCAAAGCTTCTTCAAAGTTTTCTTCAATTGTTCCATCGCTTACTGGACTCTCCAAATAATCTTTTCCAGTTCCTGCAGCACTGTTTAAATCCAACTTTTCTTCTAAAAGCTGTACTATAAAATAAATATTTCAATTATATTCTAAAATAAAATAAAAGTACTAAAAATATTAAATTTTAAAATATAATAATGTATTAATTTAAATTCTTCAAAAAAAAATTTTTTTAAAATTAAAAAATATTTTACAATAATATATATATTTTTCATGTAGTTGTATTATTATAAAAAACTTTATCTAATTTTATCAAAATTTGGATTTTATGTTTAAATGTTTTACCATTAGAAGTAGTTTGTAACTCAGTATCATCGAACTCCAAGTTGGGCTCATAATCATGATAATCTGACAAACTTGGGTATGGGTCTTCGACTTCATTAGCTATTGCTATTATACAAACAGAAGTATGCGCATTATTGTCTGCATCAAATATGTTTCAATGAATCACAAAACACTACATTAGCAACTCTTTATTTGATCAATGGTTTTGCATTATAAATAGATACTTAAAAAATACTAAATAATAACAAAAAAAAATATATTTGTAAAACAAGTATTATAATAAATTGATGACTAGTATACATCTCGCGGTTTCTCGTTATAGATTATTTTTCCCGATCACATTACACAGTACATATGATCTCCAATAAATATTTTGATATTTTTCATTGGTGTTTACAAATCACTATATTATGATTATGAAACTTAAAAGAACAAATTTTCTATTGATATGTATATATATTTAAACCAAGGATTGGAACTATGTCAAGTTAAGATCAAATCTTGGATTTTGTAATACGCACTATCGTGTCAATACGCGAATTATTCGTCACTTATCGATGTGCTTATCCACATAGGAGACTGAGATCCATCGTGAAATGTTTTCTCGCTAAAACGAACAGAAAAACGTCGATGCCAGATGAACTTTTACAATCACGATTTTTGGCGATATGTACTTGATGTAACGTTTATTTGACACCTAGAGCAACGTCAACAAACGCGATAGACAAGCTCACCTGTCAAAGTTCGCGTTGGATTTAGCGTCGGTTGATAGTCTGCTTCCATTTTCTGGCAACTGTACGATAAAACAGTGCCGAGATTAAATTACGGGGCTTTTATGTACCCTGCTTTATAAACGAATAACGTTTTTCTTCTCGAACGACATTATCCCGACGCGGTATGGTAAACCAGCGTATTCACGTCACGCTTTCATTTGTTGTGTCGCTAATTGTAATTCGTAGTCACTCGTCACTCCCTTTCCCCACTGCTCGATTAACGAATACTTTCATACTTATTCCTATTGGTTGGTTGCATATTTTTGCCACGGATGAGTTATAAAATAGACTTGACATCTTACAAAACTTCATGCCACATGTTCTGAAATATCGACTTCGAAAGAGAATATTTCTTGCGCCCTCTGCAATCTAATATAATAAAATATACTCAAAATAGAAATTACATTTTAAACTATAAAATAATGTAATTCAGCCGATAAAGTTGAGTACGTAGATGGCTATTATCGATAATTGCACAGATAGTTACTATAGAATAGTATATAGAATCAAATAATAAATAATAAATATTATTTTCAATATTTTACTAATAATTTATAATATTTTAATAATTGTTATAATATTTCTAATATTTTATTATAATGAAATAAAATTTTTTAATTATAAATATTAGTTTCTTTTTTTTTTCAATAGAGATTATATTATTACACATTGTGTATATATTATAATGATATAAATAAATAAATTATTAAATTAATAATTATATATATAATTACGTAAAATATATTATTTAAATTATGTTTTTTCATAATTTTTTTTATAGTATTTCTGTAATTATATTTTTAGTAAATAAATTACATTATTATTTGTTTTCTTACACAAAGCCAGTTTTATATGTAATAGAATTATAAATTCTATAAATTTATAAAGATTTTTATAAAATATTAAACTAAACACATATATTTTCAACTTATTATTATTATTCGTATAATTTTTTTTAATTATATGAGTTGCGCAATTCCACATTTCTAGGCATGATTAGGCATGAATTATTGTATAATCATCTGAAATGGAATTAGAACATAATTAGAACAATTATTGGTCTTCAAGCTTCTTATAACAAAAATATTTTTAGTAAAGTAGCAATATTTAAAAATTTATTAATTTTTTATGTTTATTAATTTATATAAATGATAATAATAATGAGAATTTTCTTTATTTTTTTTTTTTTTTTAGTTCATATTTTTCATTTTTTTATGCAAAACTTTGCAGTGTATTACTCTATACTTTTTTTTATGATGTTATTATTATATATTTTTATATTTAAAATTTTTGTTTAAATATCTAAAAAATTGATTTCAATGTGTATAACTGATATTGTGAAATATTATGTATTAAATATGTATCAAGGAATTTAAGGCTAATTTCAATTTCAATATTATTTTCTAATTGTAAATATATGTCCATTTTGTATTTCATACAAAACTTTACATGTTTATGGCTTATTTAAATTTTATAATTGTTTATACATTTCGTTTGCCAGTCTCTTTGTAAACATAAAAATAGATTTATACATCTTATTTAAATTATGTGAATGTACATATCATGTGTATATATTGCAATGCACATTACTAATGCAAAATTGTATTTACTATTATCACTTGTTTAAATATTATATTAAAATCACAAAATACAACATTTTATATTTGTAATAATCAAATATATGTATAATAATCATATTTTGATTAATTTACATATTTGAGTAAAGGCAAAATGTTTCTTGTGACAATATTATTATAATTATGATCAATATTTTGCAATGATAAAATATATATATATATATATATTCATAAAATTTTTTTCAAATCCATTAATGTCATATTGTAATTTCCTGTACAATTTGCACAACAGATGTGCGATAATATTTATTTTACCTTACCTTTAATGTTAAGCAATAAGAATTGAAATTCATTTATAATACAATTCCATGTTTGTTCTGACAATTTAAAAATATATGATATACAATAGATAAAAAAATGTATACTACAAATGAATGAAACTTCTAAAAACGCATATAATATATATATGCTTAAAATAAATGTTATATTACACAATAATCTGTAAAAATCGAATCTAAAACAAAATAATTGATCCGTAATTTTTTAAAATATATGAGATTTGCACATATACAATGAGAGACAACATTGCAAATGAATTTATGTTTCAATACATAAAAAAATTTTAGTTTTGATCTTTGTAAGATCAAATTGATTCTTATAAGATTTACTTCTTATTTACATTATAATTAATTTACTTATTTAGTAAAATTTATCAATGGATATATAGAATGAAGTATATGTACAATAATGTGATTCCTATTAAACTGAATACTTAGGACCACATTTTTTTATTGGTGTTAATCTGAGGCCTTTGGCCAACATTTGAGCTTCAAGGTCACGATCTTCGTCTTGATACCTAAAAGAAAAGTATGCTTCCATTAACTATTAAATATAATAGAATTTAAATATGCAATCACAATATTTTTTTGTCTCGTGCAATAAAAAATTATATTGATTGATATAAAACAAAAAAAAAAAAAAAAATAAATATATATATATATATACATATAGAAATAAATATACATATTGAAATACATTATAAAAAATTTTTGCACATTAAAAAATTTTTTATGTGCAAATAAATTTATTGTTCGTTATTAGATTCGTTAATATATATTATTTTCTAGTAAAAAATCTATTTTTTTAATCTCGAATCCTTTCTAATAAAAATTTCTTATAGAAATATACAATATACTTCCATTCTTTTATAAAAATCCATTTAAAAATAATTATCGTTTAAAAAACTTTCTTTATAGGATTCTTGATTCTTATCGTTTATGTTAAAAGCCATATGTGTTTAGGAAATAATTACCATAAACACATAAAATAATATATTTTATTTTTTCAAAGTATCCATCAAAAAATATTTTAAAAGTTAACAACATATATCAACATAGTTACATTTCTATAATTTTTATGATACTAATACGATTTTTAATCCTATACATGACCAGATATAATTTTAAGTACAATCAAAATGTCTCCATTCCTTACAATAACACAGTCATGTATATATCACTTTATCATAATATAAAGAAAATATTTATAGCAGAAAACAAAAAAAATTATGTATGTGAATAGCATGCAACTAAATTACAATACATATTATAAAAACTGTAAAAAAAAAAAGTATGTATGTATATATATATGTATGTATTGTAAAAATAGTTTTTTATGACATGATATTTATATTTGACATGCATTGAAAAAGTGAATGGAAGAAACTGTATAATGATCATTATTAAATATATTTAATATATTTATGTAAAATAAATATTAACTATTTTAAATTGAAAAAAATTATATAATAAATGCATTATTCATAAATATTATTCATAACTTTAATATATAAAGTTATATAAAAGAAAATATTTAAAATTAAATAGAAATATTATAAAAACTAAATGTTTTTTAATACTTTAAGATAAAAATGCGCGAAAATAATGAATTTAAACATCATCTACATAATTAAGAAAGTTTAAAAAAAAAAAATCAAGATTTAAAAAAATATTAGTGGTTCATTACAAAAATTAATGAACAATTGTATTAAATTAGTTAAAAATATATATGTAATTAAAATGATTATCAAAGTGAGCACAGAAGATGTATTGTTCAAATGAGGAGTAAAGAAATTAGGTACGTGCGAAAAACAAACTGTATGTGTCGAAAAAGGAGTTAATGTTTTGCATGTAGATCTACACCACCTTTGTCGCTCTTCTTCTAAAAGTGCAATAAGCGAATCCCGTTTTGCGACTATTTCCAACATTTCTGTTAAAATTTCTCCTTCCTTTTTCACATCGGCACTGGTCTTTTTATTATCTGTAAAAACATTGATAAATATATTATATAATATATTATATAATAATTATTAATAATATCATGCAATATTAAATAACTACTGTTAAATATTTAAATATTATAATAAAATATTAACCATCATCAGCTAAGCGTTCACGTAATTCTTGTTGCAATCTTTCATGACGATCTTCAAGTTGAACCTCTTGAGCTCGTACTAAAAGCTCTTTTTCATATCGACGCAATTCTGTACGTTCTTTCATAAGGTCAAACCACTCTCTGAGTAAATCTGCTTCTTCTCGATCGGAGCATTCTAAATATTATAAGTATATATTTTGTTTAAGCAATTTTTTTGAAAAAAATTTTTTATAATATATAATATTATAAAAATCATATCATAATATATAATAATTTATGGATTCTTACCACCTTCTCCACGAAGAGCTTTTTCAACGCTAACACCTCTACTTTCCAATTCTCTTTGTTTAACTTCTGTTTCTTCCAATTTTCTTTGTATTTCTTGAGCCATACGCAATCTTTGGAATATTTTTAAATTTTTGCATTATAAATTATTGAATTATTTTATAGCAATATAAAATTTAGTTTTTTTTTTTTTTATATACCTTTTTAATTGTGCTTGTCTAGCTATTCGTTTCGTAGTTTTTGTTTTACGTGAAATACTATTACATGAACCTTCTGTTATTGTGGCTTTATGTATGCATGACGTCGACACTGCTGTTGTTTTTGTGTCATCATCCGATAAACTATCATCTGTTAAATGAATAAAATGAAATATAAAATATAAATTTTTATACAATTTTTATTTTCATGCATCTGTTACAATAATTTATATATTTAATTAATACCTGAGATTTGTGTAGTAGGAATGGTATAAATAAGAGGTGGCGGTGGAATTGGCGGCGGATTTTCATTTAAAAAGTTTCTTGCGAGCATACCTTCGCAAACACTTTTTGGTCTTGCGTTCATTTTCGGTGATAAGACTTTATCAAGCTGAAAAAGAAAATATATTGTAATAATGTTTTCCTTACAATAGTAGTTGATAAATAGAAATAAATATTATATTTCTTAAATTATATTATAATTAATTTTAATATTGAAGAGAAAAATTATATTAAAATAGAAAAATCCTATTAAAATACATGGATTAAGCTTATATCGAAATTATGTGAAGATGCAATTACAATATACATAATATATAAATAATATTAGTCTACCTAAATATAGTATATATAATAATTATTTAGTACATTTAATAAAACAATTAATTAATTGGTAAATTAGCGGTTGAATTTATACATTGTTAAAATTTAATATGAAATTAGAATACTAAGATCAAATATACTACTCATCCATCTACTTTTCAACAATATTTTCTTAATATCTATACATACATATATATATATATATATATTATAAAATAAAAAAATGTCTCAAAAATATTCAACAAAAATATAAAACATCGATTAATTAGAGATTCTTGAAATAATTTCAAGCAATATATTTTCCTTTGTGTCAAATTTTCGTCACGGTTTTGAATTATTAACAAAAATAAAAGCTAGTTAAACTGCGTTCAATATGTGCCAAGTAGAAAGCAATATGTATAGAAGAAAGTCTGTTGAATATAAGAAATAAATTTTTATCGAGAAAAAAAAAATTATATCGAATTACATCTTATTCAGAAACAACTAAGTAAACTAATTAATTGTTATTCGTATAAAGGATAATAATAATCGGATTTACTTGTTATCAATGAATAATATAAAATGAATGATAATATGAAAACTCGAATATAAAAGTTTTTTTAACAAATAAATGATAAATAATATATATTTGGAGAAGATGACAAAGAAGAGGTGGAGACATGTTTTTTTGTTAATAACTTGTTAAAGCTATAACAAAAGTTTTCGCAAAGGGAAATATTGCTTGAAATTACTTCAGGAATCTCCAATTAATCCGGAAATTTCCATATTTTTGGGATTAGACATTGGTATTAGAAACAAATTAATTAAAATTACACACTAAAAAAAAAAAAAAAGAAAAAAAACGAACATACTGAAGTGGCAATTTATATGTAGATATGATAGAATTTAAACATGCTTATTTATAGGACAAATTGTTACTACGGTAATAAGGAATTAACAGTATTTAAGGATTTAAAAGTAAAGTGTAAAAAAAAAATTTAATGTAACTTATGCCAGTCAATATGTTACCTCTTCAAAGCAGACGAGAAAATGCGGCAAACGAAAATAAAATCATAGTACCTGCACGATATACAATAGCGAATACAAATAGTGGCATAAGAAAGCTAATACTGGAAAAATTAGTATCAATGACTTATGAGTTGCTTACATCTGACCCTTCCGAATACGATTTACATAACTGAAACATTTCAGAATCCAATTAGTCAAGAGATACTCGAGAATATATTCACGTTGTACAATAGAGAGAGAGAGAGAGAGAGAGAGAAAAAAAAAAACATGTAGAAACTAGCGAGAGAAGAAGAAATACAATATACGTACTTTGCCTTTCGTCTTTGACGTTAGACGGAACATAGATAATTTGTCTTTTTGATTGGACGGCGAAGGGGAAGATTCCTTTTTAAAGAAGAAATCTGAGACAGCTTGAATGATACTTTTTCTTCTTTCCGGATCTTTCGTTTTTTGTTTCTTATCCCTTTTTATTATTGAGCTGTTTGATTTGGGAGAATCAGCGTGTAATAATTCATCCATTGATTTCGCACTGGCAGTAGATAAACCACTGAAATTGATCGCCTCGGCTACAGCTTTCATATTGTCCGTACTTTTGCTCGTTTGCAATTTTAATTCAGTCTTGTTTGCTCCATAAGTATAAAGTCTTATGCGAGGATCATCAGGCTGTGTTTCTTCATTAGTTTTCCTCTCTTCCATTGAAAGTTGCCTTCGCGCCACTTTCATTCTCAACTCTTTGATTTTATCTTCCGGACTGAGACCCAGATCTTCATCGCTCTTCAATCTAGCCCTTTCCCTCGCATCTTGCCTCGCTTTCTCTGCCGTCCTCTTTGCCTCCTCATGCTTCAATCTTGGGGGTGCAACTGGCGTTCTAAAGTTGTTTTCCGTTTCATTAGCTGTTTTAATCAATGTGATATTTTCGCAAGATCGAATATCATTATTATTATTACTTTCCTCATTTATAAACTTCTCAGTCTCCGATTTCCAAGGCAATTGCTGGCTTTCGTAAGATTTCTTAATTTCCACGGGCTGTTTACTTTCAGCAGAGCCGATATTATGCAAGGGACTATTTTCAGGTGTTACTATGGATGTAGGTACAAATTTATTAACTAACGAACTACCAGGAACGGATGGTCTTATTGGCGATAAGGCAGAAGTTGAATTGAAAGACGAGGCTCTAGCAGCTCTTCTTGCCTTTTTCTCGGCGGATTTCTGTTTATGAGCTTCTACTTTATCCATCAATAAATCTTGTATCACGTTTTTCTGCTTGAATCTTTCCCTCGTAATTTCTTCCAATTTTCTCGACGTAGCCGGCGAATTGAAACTATTACTTACCGTAGTTTCTTGATTCTTAATTTCCTCTGCTATCATCTCGGCCGTGCGAGATTGCAGCGAACTTTTTGAATTCTTCCTTTTCGATTTCCTCACATCTATAGAATCTTTGGCATTGCTAAATTCAGCGATTCTGGATTGGAGACGCTTCACGTATTCCAAATAATCAGGATTGTTCAAATCGGTCGTCGTTTTCGTTTCCTGCTCAGATTGTTTTTCAGTTTGAGCCGCGATCATTGAAACTTGTGGATTCACGGGGCTAGCAAGAATGGTGACCACCTCGCTGGTGGTGGTGTCCTCGGCGGGTTCAACGATAAGCAAGCTATCTTCTTCCATCGATTGAAATAACTCTTTATTCACCGCTTCCGCGATAGATTGATCTTGTTGAACGGAATTCGATTTTATTTCCGCATTTGTCTTGCAACTATCGCTCTCAGACTTATTCGCAGACCCGTTCAATTTGTTCATAACATCATCCATGGTAATTGGATTTATTTCTATCACGTTCTTATCGTAGTAACCTTCTTCCTCCGAATCATTCTCTAATTTCGCAATAGGAGCGTCAGCGGTCGATTTATCTTGCGAACTTGTGACCGGTGTCGAAGCGCTTTTAACATTAACAAATTCCACGTATCCCCTATTTTTGAGCATCACCATATTAGAAGCATCTTGCAAACTATCGTCCAACAACGACTCGTTATCCGTGTCCATAAAATCTATATTCTCGCCATTGGCTAAGAGTTTCGAGGTATCGTTAACAGGAACGTCCAACAACAACTGTTTATCCAACTTGGAAGAATCGAAGAAGTCCATATCCGTTAAATCTTCCTCTTTGGCTATCGTAATTGGTTTACGGCCTATCTTCGAAGCATCCGACAATCCAGCTTTTCTCCTCGTCGTTATGAATTCCGGATTGATATTGAACTCAACGTCCCGTAGATCATCCGAGACCAAAACTTCCCCGTCACGGGCCCACTCTGAGAATTCCGTCTCGGTAAGGGCCGCTGTCGTCACGTCGTTCTCTTCGGAATCATCGTGTTTATTCGAAATGGCAGAGGTTATCGACGTAGGTGTACTGCAATTGCTAATACTCTTCCTACCGTCGTCCTGCAACTCCAATTGCTCGATTTCGTTCTTCACTAACTCCAGCTCCATCGAGGTTTTATTCACCCCAGAACCGATCCTATCGTTCGACTGTCCTTTATCCCGTAGAAACGAACACTCTATGGAATCGGGCTCGAACGACTGGCCGTCATCCACCTGGAAATCTTTGTTACATCTCTCGGCTTCTTCGTCCAACAGAAGATCCCCATCCGTACTGTGAATTTGTAAACGGGGTGGGGACAAATTAACAACAGCTGGCGATCGATCTTGCCCTTCCTCCTCCGCCTCGCCATCCCCGGAGGACAGAGAATCGCTGTCCATCTCCGAATCCCCGCTACTAGCCGCCTCTTTCCTTTCCTCCGTGTTCTTGCTCCAATCGACTTGAGGCACGATGATCGAGGTTTCGTGCAAAGGGCTTCGTGGCCGGAAACCATTGTTCTCGTCCGTGCTCGCTGCGAAATTATTTTGCAATTGGCCAGGAACCGCTTGCTCTTTCGCAATTTCTTTATTCTCCACGTCCTTGGACTCGCCGCGCACGATGTTAGGCGTGGTTTTCGATTTTAATATACTGGATTCCTTGACCAGATCCGGTAGCTGGGTCTTCGATATTTCGGGCAAAATTGTCGACTTATAAATAGGATTGTCATTGTTCAACAAATTGTGGGAGGATCGATTCGCCGTGTACGGTTTCACGGATGAGAATATAGCCGTGGGCGAGATGGGGGATAGTTGAGCGTTGTTCGATCGCAATTTGCTCGTTCCTTGCAGGAATGCTTGCATCGTGGGGCTCGGTTCTGGAGCCGGGTTCAAAAGTTTTTGGTGTTGAGAGATAGCGTCCGTGAAATTTCTCAACTGAGTGTCGACGTTCGAGGCTGATCCCGATTTCATAACCGAGCCTCCGAAAGCTGTGCCGCCAAGCAAATACTTCTTCTTCAATTCCAAGGACAGCTTGGACGCTATACCCTCGGTGGAGTGGGTACGGTTCAATAAGTAATCCCCTTTGCGTGGGTTTATCAATGGGACTGCGTTCGTATTATTATTGAATCCTAATAAATTCAGCTTGCTCTCTTTTTCAAGATGAGAAGGATTTATTATATTGTGATCCATTTTTGATTGGCATTTCGCGTCCAGTTCTTTATCTTGCTTCAGGTTACCATTGATCGAGGAAATCACTTTACTTTTCACTTGAACTTTCTTTGGTTCAACGTAATTTCCTCTAGTTTTCCGCACGTATGCATCGTTGATCGTGATTTCTGGGATCTCGTGCTGCGTAGGAGTTGCGCCATCGTGCTCGAATTCAGAATCTGTCGATATTTCCGTAGCTGAGTTTTCTTCGCTTTCTTCCGACGTACCTTCATCGGAGGCAACCTGTTGAATCATGTAAATCATTACAACGAACGAAGATGTCGCATTAACAACATTAAATGTTATCAAGAAGAGAGAGAGAGAGAGAGAGAGAGAGAGAGAGAAGAAAACAAGTAATTTTGTTAGTGTATTAGTAGAAACTAATTAGTGGT